GTAAACTGCCAACAAAATGATGAAAAACAAATCAAGATTAACAGAATATAAAAAATGTTCTAAAATAGTTAAAACAATACAACTCGGTCATTTCCGAAATCTATGCAGGCAATATTGCCCTCAGGCGTGACACAGATGCCACTGGGGCGATCAATGTCAACACCCTGAATCTGAGTTTTGAAATTACCATTAGGCTCAAAGATTTGAATACGGTTGTTCCGGGAGTCAGCAACGATGATTTGCCCGTCCCCGTCAACAGTTACTCCCTGAGGCCGTTGGAACTGCTTGACGCCAGCTCCTTCGGAGCCCAGGAAACGGGCGTTCCTGAAGGTGGGTTCAACAACCACCAGCCGGTGGTTGTTGAAATCTGTGCAAATGATGTAGCCATCGGGGTTGAAGCAGACACCCCGAGGTGTATCAAAATGTTTCCACATATTTGTGGATGTCTCCCATCCATACTTGTTTATAAATTTGCCATCGGCTGAAAACAGTTGAATTCTGTGGTTGCGTGTGTCCGCCACCACAATCTGCCCGGCCGAATTCACATCGACATCCCAGGGGTAGTTAAATTGTCCATTCTTGGACCCCATCTCGCCGAAAGAGTGCAGGTACTGCCCCTCTCCATTGAATATTTGAACCCGGTGATTGTCCTTGTCGGCCACGATGATGCGGCCACTGGCGTCCGAGCACACGCCCGCCGGCCGGTCGAACTGGCCGGGCGCGCTGCCGTGTGTTCCGAACTTGAACAAGAACGACCCGTCGGGCCGGAACACCTGGATCCTGTTGTTGGAACGGTCCGCCACGATGAGCCGCCCCTGCCGGTCTGCGCAGATGCCCCACGGCCGCAGGAATTCCCCGTCCTGGCCGCCCTGGCGGCCGAAGGACACCACCGGGCTGCGGATACCGTCGTAGGTGCGCACGGAGCGCACCGCCAGGTGGAACGGGCTGCCGACGATGTGGCGGCCGCGGAGGGTGACGTGGAGGGCGTGGGGGCCCTCGGCGCGGGCGCGGTAGACCACCAAGAAGCTCCCGTCGCGTCGGTCGTCCACGTCGGCGTGGGTGAACGCGCCGTCGGGAGATACGAGCACGGCCTCCAGCGTGTCCTGGGCGCCCAGGGCGCTGGCCTGCACCACCTCGTTGAGGTGATTCTTCACATGCACCGTGAAGGCGGCAGGCCGGCCACGGACGGCGCGCGTCAAGCCGTCGCCCACGGCGACGGTGGTGAGCGCGTAGGCGCTGCTGGTCACCGAGCCCATCGACCCCAACGCGCGCAGCAGCACGGGCTCCGGGGGCACGAAGACGAGGGCGTCGTCCTCGAAGGGAACGCCCACCTGCGGCGCCGCGCCGCTGCTGAGGTTGGCGCGGGCGGCGCGCAGCTGCGCCAGCTCCACGGCGGCCTTGTCCTTCGCCACGAGGTGATCCACACTGTCGTCGTGCTGAAGCGTTTCTCGGAGAGTGTCCGAGAGCCTGACGAAACGCTGCAGCAGACTGCGGAGCTGCTCGGTCTGGAGGAGGAGTGACTTGGACTTGAGCGCGCGCACCTTGTCCACCTGCGCGAGGAGCTCCCGTTCCCTGGCCTCCACGGCGGCTATGAGCCGTCGCGACGCCTGTCGCACCTCGGTGACCACCTGCAACAACAAGACGAGCCAGGTCAGCACTGGGCAACGCGGTGCACTGGCACCTGAAACACGGGGCACTTACACGATTGCCAACAACTGACCTGCATGGATTTACTCTCTACGGCCTCCACCATCTTGTGGGTTTTGTCTAGCCGGTCCCGGATGTTCTGAGCTCCGGCCTGGGCGTCCGACAGGTACTTCATGTTCGCCATCCTGCTGGATTCGATGGCGAACTTGATGTGGGTCACTTGGTGCCCGCGGTGCGCCTTGGAGCACACGCCGCAGATGGGCGTAGAGCAGGTCTCGCAGACCTGGCGCAGGACCTCCCCCGGGTGCTGCTCGCACATCGGGGGCGCTCGCGGGGTGTGGGGGCGGCGCGCGGGGCCGAGGCCCGGGGCCGGCGGGCTGCTCCTGCGCCCGGGCGGGCTGGCGAGGCGCGCGGAGGGCAGCATGGGGAGCACGGCGGGCGGCAGCCCGGGCAGCACGGCGGGCGGCAGCGGCAGTCCTGGCAAGCCCTGGGGGGAAAGCAAAATCATGAGCGTCAGCTCGAGCAACCGCGTTAGCAAACACACACCACCCCACGCCCACGCCACTGGGGGGGTCATCCCTTACCTCACTGCACGACGCGCACCGCGCGCCGATCAGCATGTCCCCGCAGTGGAGGCAGGTGTCCGGGTCCGAGTCGGCGAGCACCTCCCCGCTCAGGGCGTTGACCATGTCCGAGAGGATGGAGTCGACGCTGCTGATGCTGTGCTCCCTGCTGGAGCCAGACGAGCCGTACATCGAGCTGCCAGCCGAGCCGAAGCCGGAGGACCCGCTGCTGGGGCCGAGGCCAGTGTTCATGGCGGGCAGGCCGGAACTCATTACAGGGAGACCGCCCAGGACGGGGAAGCCCGACTGGAGGCCAGAGCTAAAGCCAGATTTTACAGTCGGGCCGCACAGCGACCCCAGTCCATTGGCCAAGCATGACGCCAACTGCTGGTTGACGAACGCCGAAGTGGCCATCCTGGAAAAGCAAGCAAGTAAAATAGATTAGACCGAGCCGAAAAGGCAGCTAACGTTTCACCACACACCTTCATGGTGAAATGAAAAAATGTCTGCTTGCTTATCAATGCTCCAGATCGCGAGCGGTGCTACCCTGGCCGCAGCCGCAGGCGAGCGAGCTCGATGAACGGCGTCCTGACCACCACTTCCACTCGCGCTCAGCGGGGGGCGCCGCCCACGCCCAGGACGGCGACAGGGCTCTCGCCCTGCTTCACCTTATGTTGCGCGTCTCCTCCCATCTTCGAAAACTTGGGCCGGGGAAGAGGAGGGGAGGGGGAGGGCGAGAGTTTGCTGCTATGCTGCCAAAGGGGAGGGGCAGGCGGGGAGGGGCGGAGGAGCCCCTGATGGTGCCGTGGTGCCGTGTTGGAGAAGCAGCCCAGAACACCCTTACACCCGAGCTCCGCCCCGCCCCGCCCCCAACCCCTGCCCTGGACCGGACACATTTGTCACGCCCGCACACTTTGCCTAATAGAAGTGCACAAGAGGGGGGAGGAGGGGAGGGAGTGAGGAGGCTGGGGGTGGGGGTGGAGGGATTGCGCAGCTTTATGGCCGGTGCCGAGTCGAAGGGGGTGGTGTTTTCCACGAAGGGGGAGGAGAGGAGGGGGTGGGGGACGGGGAGGGCAGGAGGAACGGGGATGTCGAGTTTCCGAGGAATTGCCACTTGAGACTCTTGCTCGTAGTGTCTGGAGGCCACGCCATACACAGGCCCCAGCATGCGCAGAGTTGCGCTGCGTTCCGGGCGGGCCCAGCCGGGGCCGCCACGGGGGCCCCACAGGTCGCCGGTCGGGCCGGGTCTGGACCATTTATTCAACCCCCCGAGAGCAAGCCGAGCAGACTCTCGCGCGCAGAGGGCACTGAACACACACTCAGGGCGCGGAAACTTTGGTACCGGGTTTCACGTGCGCGGCTATTCCGGGCGGGGGCTTATCGCTCGCTGGACACTTTCAAGTTTCCCGCTTCAGCTGGCGATCAAAAGAGGCTCCGACCACCGGCCGAGCGGGTAGGGAGGGGGTCTTCAAGTTATGCTTATCTCTCCGTGTGTCGGACTTGTTCATCGTCGTCGGCTGGCTTATGGCGGCAGCGGCGTCTGAGACCATCAGAGAGTGCGTGAGACTTGCGCACCACGCACCAGCCACGCGCACGATGGTGCCGCTCTCTTATCAAAGGAGTGGCGTTGTTTCTCGGAAGGTCAGTCGGAGAGGGTGACGAGCGTGAAACAAGTTGCACATGGCGGTGGGGGCGGCACACCCCCTCGCCGCCGCCACCGCCGCCCCCGCGCTCAAGGGTTTACGACGTCTTCTATGGCAAAGTGGAGCAGCTGGGGGCTCCTCAGGTCCGGAGGAAAAAGAAAATGGTAATAAAGTCAAAACGAGCAGCGCCGAAAAGATCGGCTCTTTCGAAGGGTGTCATAAGGGCCGTGTGTTTATTAGTTCGTTTTTAAAAGGGGAAGGAGGTGGAGGTGGGGACGAAAAGCAGAAAAAAACGACTAGAAAACGAATCACTCTCTGGGAACTCTGGAACCACTTGTATGGTCATTGCGGGAAATAGTCATGTGGGCGTCGACGGCCGGGCCCGGGGAATGCTCGGCGCGGTCCGCCCGCCCCCGCTCCCACCTCCCCAATGTCCCCGCCTCCGACCAGCACCAGGCCCCGTGAACATCAGCGGCAAAGCCTCAGCCTCATTGAGCAGAGCAGCTCGCCAAGCTCAAAGAGTGTACACACCTGATAAAGACCCGGGGGCTATCTGCCCATCAGCGGGGGTGGGCGGCGGGGGCGGCCGCCGGGGCGCTGGCGAATTCCAGCCCCATCATCAGCCCATATGCCCCTGCCTGTCGGGCAGGGCTGGGCGCGCGGCCGCGGCACCTGTCTGCGGGGAGGACAGGTGACAGGGAGAGAGGGGTGGGCGGCACGGTGTGAGAGTGAGAGGGAGTGAGAGGGAGAGGCAGAGATTGATGAAGGGGCGGGGGCGGCGAGCACAGCACACAGCAGCACACCCTGCCGGGGCTGCGGGGGCAGGGCGGGGGCGGGGGCAGGGCGGAGGCAGGTGGGTGTGGCCGGCTCATGTCAGCCAGAACTGCGGCAGTCCGGGCCCAGGCAGAAAATGTTGGCGATGTGAAACATCTGCCCCCGCCGCTCAAATATAGTGAAACCGGAGTCTCTCACGCGCTCCATTCCTCGGCCACCCCCTGCCACCCCGGGGAGCGCCCGCCCCACCCCGCCCCGCCCCGCAGCACACCACACCACACCGCCGGGGCGTGACTCCGCATACTGCACAGCAGAAATAAAAGCCGAGGAGAGGAGGAAGAGCGAAGCCCTGTCCGGCGCACGGCAGCGACGCGGGGGCGACGCACGGCGCGCCTGGGGGCGGGAGGAAGACCGGCGGCGGCGGTCCGGGGGCGGCGCTCCGACCAGCAGGACCGGTGGCGCACCATGTACTGCAGTAATTGCTTTCTGTGGTGCGACGATTTAAATGGTCCGAGAGGGCCCGGGCCGAGCCACGCCGTACTCACTGCCCGAGAGGCAGTCTTATGGAGTCTTCTGGAGGCGCCTGGAGTCTGAGGGCGCCCTACCCCGCCCGGAGGCAAGGTGCACCCGTGCCTCCCGCACCGACCGGGCCCGGGGTCCAGGCCGGGCACAAACAAGAGCAGCCTAAAGGACCTAGAGCACAGCCCCCGCCCATACAAACCTCAGCTGGCCGCAGCCTGCTAGAAGAGAAGAGAGAGGGAGAGGAGAACTGGAGGAGAAGAGATTGAGAAGGAGGAGGAGGAGGGTATCTCTCCATCTCACTCGCACACACAAACACACGTGTGCGCGCGGCGGAAGGACCGCTGCGGTTGGTGCGAAGGACGGGGGAAAAGAGAGAGAGAGAGAGAAAGATTAGACAGCACACCCTCCTGCCATGCCATTCCAACCCATCGGCCCGGTCCCAGGCCCCCAGGCCGGCCCCGCACCGGCACCACCACCGGGGCCTGGTCCTGGTACTGCAGGCCTCGCACAACGAAAAACTGCAACCTGACTGGGGGGGG